CCCCCCCCCCCCCCCCCCCCGCATCACACCCAGGAGCTCGAAGCCACAAGGGCACTGGCAGATACTTTGCCACGGTGGTTCGTTGACATTCCCCGTCAGAAGTTGCAGTCGTGATTTTTGTTGCCCAGGGTTTAGGTGCTGTGTCGATGGTTCTATGTTCTCGTCATCCCATCCCTCAGCCTCTAGACTCTACCTGCCAACGTCAAGAGAGATTACAGATACTGGTCAGGGTTAGGCTGGCGAAAAAAATAACTGGTTGAACTCGCTCCCAAACAACGTTGCCACACTTTGGGATCTTCTATGCCAGTGTTGAGGGAGAAAGCTTGCCGTGACGAGAGGTACTGTATAGGGATATCCATGAGCACGGAAAGACACTCCTTAACTTCCGATCAGAAGCCGCCTAANNCCTAAACCCTAAACCCCAGACCCGAGGTTTCGAGGGTGTCTGGATAACTCCGGCCGTGCTTCAATTCTACGGGCCTGATCCCGACATGCAGAGTGGCTACGGCAGCTACGGCTATTGGGCCAAGGACCCCGGAAAGGGGCTTAGGGTTTAGGGTTAGGGTTGGGGTTTAGGGTTTAGGGTTAGGTTTTCGGGTTTAGGGTTTAGGATTAGGGCTTAGGGTTTAGATGGCCTGCATCTGGCAGGCTTTCGGGCTAACGTAGGGGCCTTAAGAATAGCGTAATCTTGCATAGCCCCAGACCCTTATAACTCCTGAGCCCACCCCAACTCAGAAACCCTGCCTTCAATCTTAGGCCTTGGACCCCAACCTTCGTGACTTACGACTCGTACATTTGAGGCTCCTGAACCTTAAGCATCACTAGGTGGTGAGTGCCTTCCTTGATCATGTACAGCTGAGGCTTTTGCGATAAAAGAACTCTCATGCCAGATTAGCCTGTGATCTTGGTTTTGGGTTTAGGATTGAGCGTTGGTGGCTGTGGTGTGGGAAATACCTGAAACTTGTGACAACCGCAAGCCCATACCCTAAGCCCTCGCCTTGTCTAATATAGGGGCTCAACTAATTACCTATACTTTTTGGGGGGTTCCTCATTATAACTATAGTATAATGGGCCCCAAAACCCTATTCTAATTATGAAGGTCCCTAAACCCTAAACCCTTATAGTAGCCCTTATAGAACCTTTTAAGGAACCCCTTTAAAGGAGTCCCCAAGACCCTGTTCTAATTATGAAGGCCCCGACATTCTGTGGGCTTTCCTGAGCCAGCGCGAGGACATCTACAAAATCGACCCCAGCATGGGGACGGAGAAGGAGATCTGGGGGAGCAGCCGCTTTAGGAGTTTAGAGGTTTGGGGTTTAGGGGTTTGGGGTTTAGGGGTTTAGGGTTTAGGGTTTACATGAGTGGGTCTTTGTTGGCTACAATATTACATTTTGTGTTTCTACAACCCAATAAAGGATCAACAATGAACATGTTTAGTATAGCCCCAACAGTGGAACAGATGAGAGGTGGTGGTGATGCTCATGGTAACTCTGATTGCATCATCAACCTCATCATCTTCGGGAGCAGAATGGACCCCTCAATATAGGGGCCTTAATAATCAAAACAGAGTTTCAGGGCCCCTTATACTATAACTATAATAAGGAGCCACCAAGATAGTGTTGGTATTTATTTAGGCCCCTACATTATCCCAACTCCTCGACCCTCCAACCCCGCGACCCGCAGCTGCGAAGCCTAGACCGACCTGTAAACTGGAGAGGCAGAAACGGAACAACAACGGCAACAGTGGTCGTTATGGACTTTAAACCATGAACGGAGGGCTCAGGGTTCAGGGTTTAGGGCTCAGGGCTATCATTGAAAAACATGTTCTTGGCATGTTTGCACTAAGCCGCCTACCACTGTGATGCGAACAGTGAAAGAAAAAGCACACAGAGTTCCAATGGCAAAAACATGGCAACATAACCCATCTTGAAAGTACACTTCCAAGTGAGCAGCACGCCCCCAAAAAGTGTTATCAACATGAATATCAGTTATTGAATCACTTGTCACGATCGCAGGCAGTCTCTTTGACAAGAACACAAATATGACGAGTAATGGCGATAGTCAAGAGCGCTGGCAGAAGTTACGGATAAGAACAACAACTCACACAGATTGAAGCTTCAAGGATTTGCAGTCTTTCGGGTCGGGTCGGGTCGGGTTTGCCAGGTTTTCTGGTTTCGGAGTGAGTGTCAGCATGGAGGCATCCGGTCGTAGTTTGATTAGAGATTGGGCTTTAGTTTAGGATCTAAGGTTCCTACCCAGAGTGGCGGGAAGCCTGCACAGACCGAGTGGGAAGTCGAAAAAACAATCGTGATTGGTGTGTCCGTGCAGTTCTTAATCTTCAGCCTCCCGTTGCGGACATTGATCCGTCTGATGCGCAAGTAATTAGTAAGGCTATACTTCAGACCCAAAGAATTTGTCATTTGTGCTTGGGAGTTTCACAAGATGAGGCACTTGAATATAGGCCCTAAACAGAAGAATCCCTGTTATATTCTCGGACTGCAAGAATCAGGCTAAATCAAAGAAAGGGGCGTATGAAACGAAACGTCCGACAGAACACAGTCAAAGAATCAGCCTGGCCTAAATCTTTGTCAAATCCTTTGAGAGGGTATGTTCGACAGTTCTTCTGTCAGGTGCAACATAGAAGTTCAAGGAGGGGGGATACTGCAGGATACGTAGCCGTTATAATCCTCGCGTTTGAATACGCTGTCTCTGGTTTTAAGAACTCGTGAGAAAAAAAAACGCCCCGGTCGAGGACCTGAAGGCTTTGGCAGATGAGCTCCATCGCCGGGACATGGTCTTCGTCTATGACATCGTCTTGAATCATGTTGGACCAGCACCCTGGAACCCAGAGACTCCACTACCCCTTAATTAAGGAATATACCTTAAATCTTATTAGGGGTCCTACTATAATTTAAGGTATATTCCTAAACCCTATACCCTAAACCCTTATAGATCCCTTTAAGGCCCCTATAATTTAAGGTATATTCCCTAATTAAGGGGTATTGGAGTCTCTGGGAAGACTCCGAGGGAGGGCCTGGTCCTCTTTGGTTCCGCTTGAAGGGCTGATTAAAGATGCCCTAACCCTCCAGGTACCTATTATATAGGGCCCCAGGGGCTCTAGTACCCTATAGTAAGTACCTGGAAGGTTCGGGGATGGTTTAAAAGTGTTCCCTTGTAAGTTTTTGTTCGGGAAGGGCTTTAAAGACGGTTTGAACGTTCCCTTGCAAGGCTTAGTTCTGGCTTTAGAGCCAGCCCCCTTCCGTAAATGAGAAATCTATCCGTTGCCTGATCCTTGCTGTGCCAGTCCCACGTCATATCAGCGTTCTGTGGCAGAGCTTCCGAGGATGAGTTCCGCCGCGATCAGCAAGTCTTGCTAAACTTCGCTTTGTCGGGATTTTTGGCCACTTGCGGTACAGATACAGAATATTGTCCGGTAGAAATGGCAAGACCTCATGACAGGGGAAAGGCTTTTCCGGTCGTTTCCTTCGGTGCAACAGTTTTAGCCAGGGATGCGTTTGCAGCGTCGCAGCAGCGCTCAATCCCAGGTACATGACGAGAAGACGCTGGCAACTTTCCATCCCTTCAACAAGCCAGAGTACATCAATCAGCTCGGTCGCGGAAGCCTGACCTTCGATGAATATGCTCGCGGCAAAGCCTACGGAGGTACGAGCTTTTGGCAACCTACGCAGGCCCAGACCTCGACGACCCCGAAGTTTCCAAGAACCAGGGAAGTTCCCCGAGTGTTGATTTGAAGTTATAGAGATGAACCAGGACTTAAGATATTTGGGAACTGCCGTCCCTCACCTGATCCCACTCCGCCCACCTGGGTTGCACTGGTTTTCTCTGATGCTGCTCCACTCGATACTTTGCAGAAGCACTCGTCCCCCCCGCTGGTTTGAGTTTTTGCTTTCTGGCTGAGCTGCGCTTCGGTGCGAAACGTATCCCTCAAGCCTTCTGTTGCCATAATGTAGAGGCCTCAATAATTAGAATAGGGTGTTAGGGGTTCCTTATTATATAATACCCCGAATCCTATTCTAATTAATTATTAAGGCCCCTATATTACTTGAGATGTGAAGTTGCCCTGCATGGCCAAAGCTCACTACACACCGCAGGCGATGGGTCCGGGGGCCATCTGCGGATCGAACTTCGACAGCTGCGAGAACTTCCGGTGCTCAGCAGTTAAAACTGATTGTGTTTAATATAGGGGCCTTGATAATTAGAACAGGGTTTGTGGGGGGGGTATATTCTACTATGATTATAATAAGGAACACCCAAAACCCTATTCTAAATTAAGGCCTCTACCGTAAGGGCTGTAAGGTTCCTGGTGGTATTGGGAGCTTTGACATGGCATAGGGTGCTGTTGCTTCGCTTGTAGGGCTGGGCTCACAGTACTCGGTTGACTTCTGAATGGCTGGATGCAGCCTCAAACTGGAGAATGCAACACCCGACAGTAAGAGACCCTGAAAGCCCTTGGAAAGCTTCCACTACTGTAGGGGCCTAAACCCCAAACCCGTATAGTAGCCCTTATAGAGCCCTCTAAGGAACCCTCTAAAGGAGCTCCCAAGAACCCTATTCTTATTTGTAGGCCCCTGAGCCCGAAACTCTTACAGTAGCCCTTATAGAACCCTCTAAGGAACCCGTTAAAGGAGCCCCCAAAAAACCCTAAACCCTGACCTCAAACCCCAAACCCTCTAAGAAACCCTTTAAAGGAGCCCCCAAAAAACCCTAAACCCTGACCCCAAACCCCAAACCCTCTAAGGAACCCTTTAAAGGAGCCCCCAAACCCCGATTGTAACTATTAAGGCTTCTATACAAGTCAGGTGTCGCGTCGACCCCGGATTTGGAAATCCTTGACCCTCGGCCTTGCGGCAAACTGTTTTGTTTGGCTTGTCGTTGTGGGTTTAGGGCTTTGGGTTTAGAGTTTAGGGTTCAGGGTTTAGGGCTTTGGTTTTAGAGTTTAGGGTTTAGGGCTTTGGGTCTAGGGTTTAGGGTTTAGGGCTAAGTAGCTTTGTTGCGATTTGGTTGACAATGGATTAAATACAAGGTGCTTTCCAATAAGAAGGTGTATACAGTAGGGTCTCACGCGGGTCTCTTTGGTTAAGGATGTTGCTTCTGGATTCTGCGGCGTTCGCTGGTGAAGTTTCGGATTTAGGGTTTTGGGGTTCTGTAAAAAAACAGCATTCTCAAAAGCACCCTGCCAGTGCCCTTGTTGAAGTCCTAAGATGCCAATGATAGGGTTTTCTGGTGCCTCGCCTCATCTCTACGCGTCCCGAAAAGTAACCCTCAACCCCAAACCCTAAACCCTAAACCCTTAGCACCACGTCACCCCGAAACCCTAACGCTCGAAAGTGTCTTGCGTTCAGGATACGCAGAGGCCGTAGTCATTCGTGGTAATGGAGATGGGTGTTTCGTGGTCATGGTTTTCTGAAACTCGCAAAGGGACATGAGATCAACCTTTAACATCCAATGTGGTTGCCGGCATGTTCTTCATCACCGAAAGTGTCAGAAGTTCCCACAACGGCCCGACCCCGAATCCGTAGAGTCCGACATGCAAACCCTTCAAGCAGAGGTCTCGAAGCCAAAGCCTTCAAGCCACCCCAACACCCTCGAAACTTGCTAATATAGGGGCCTCAATAATTTAGGGTTTGGGGTATAGTATATTATAAATCTAATCAGGAGCCCCCTAAGAAAAAAGAACTATTCTAATTATTAAGGCCCCTAGATGACCGAGGTCCGAGTGAGGCGGACGAGATTCTTCTGGACAAGCGCCCTGGACCAGCGCCTCTCAGATGCACGGGGGAAACTGCAGGGGGAGGTGGGGGGTTTAGTGTTTAGGGTTTAGGGGGCTTGTGCGCGATTGTAGATGTAGTTAGTAGGTAGTTCTATGGTATGTCTACAGGGTCCGAGAGTCGAGTGGGGCCCGAATATAATTAGTATTGGTAATTATGAAGGCCCTTATACTACAGTAATTCATGCGGTTTTGTAATGCTTGAGCGGCCATGTTGTGTTGGCACCTCGGTTAGAAGCAGGGCTGCGAGTACTTTGCTTGGGTTCATTGATGTATGCATACCTACCTTGAACTACCATAACCTACTTTTTGGGTAGGTCCCTAAATTATCAGCCCTACTGTAGAAGTTTGTAGGGACCCTACGAAAAAGTGGGCCTTGGTAGTTTAAGGTGTAGCCTACTCGTTACGTCCCCTGATCCTCCAAAAGCAGGTTGTCTCGGCTGCAGAGTTGCGGGGCTCAGTAGTATAGTATAGGGCCCTTCATACTTGCCTATATATATATATATTTGTTTTTTTTTTGGGGGGGGGTTCTTATTATGATTATAGTATACTATGCCCCCAAAACCCCTATCTTAATTATTAAGGGGAGCAGAGTTTAGGGTTTAGGGTTTTAGGGTTTAGGGTTTTAGGGTTTAGGGTTTAGGGTTTGGGGTTTGGGGTATGGGGTTTAAGGGTTCCAGGGTCGAGGGTTGGAGTTCAGGGTTCCGGATTTCACGGTACGGCCGTTGAGGGGCCGCTTAAGAGTTCTTACAAGCTTGTACAGAGTTTGGTTAAGCCGGGGTTTGGATTAGTGTGTAAGGCGTAAGGGTTTCAATTCCAAGTTTTTCCAGGGGTTAAGGTTTCAGGGTCTAGGTTAGGTTTCAGGGTGTCTTGCTTCCGAGTGCACTGCTTCGAGGCTTTGTTGCTGTTGCTCGAAGGGGCTGTCTTGAAGGAGAGGTCTTCTTATGACATAGAGTTTTGGACCTTGGGTCGAGATTACCGGATTTAGCTTAAGTAGAGCCTAAACCCTAAACCCTAAACCCTAAACCTTAACACCAACCAAGCCTCACAGAGCCAGAGGACCATCCCATTCTGCAACGTGGGGGATATGGTCTGCGAAGGCTATGACGAGCCAACGACCATTTCAGGACGCAGCCTGGGTTGGGGTGGTTGAGACTTTGATTTTGCGTCACATACTGTAGCTATTAGTCTGAGCCAAAGCCAGTCAAATAGCTGCTTTCGTAGAACTCATTCGGAGAAAGCTCTCCTGCAATCCAGCAGATGTGCTCAGGGGCAGACATTCCTTAAAGCCCTAAGCCTCAGAAGTCCAAAATCGAGCAGGAGCGCTTCCAAGTGAACATCGGGTCCTCAAGACACCAACAGCTCCATGCTGCAAACCATATTCGCCATTCGCAACATGTAGTTCATTGGCAACTGCAGTGTATATATCTATCTTCTATGTAAGATCAATGTTGAAGCAGTGCTCCAGTGCTGCGTAGGCCATCATCTCAGGCTAGTTTAACATACGTGCAAATCCGGCGCGAGCCGCCAAGAGCGAGATCCTTCTCACAAAGTCACTTAGCCCTTCAATACTCAACCTTTAAACTTTTTGTGTTCTTAAAACTTAGTAGTATTCTGAAAGGTCAACCTTTGTTTCCCCAGGCTGGTTGGGGAAGTAAGGTCCATGAAGCCGAAACCCAAAAACCCGACAACAAACCGCCTTGCTCCAAGCCGTAAGCCGCGTCCTACAGACAGCAAGGCCCTAAACCCTAGAGCACCCTAAAGCCTCTGAAGCCTGCACCTCAGCATAACAACGGGAATGCAAAAGAGGGAATCCTCAAACACCAAAACACGCCACATTTAACCCAAGAAGTAAGAACCAGCTTTCTGTCGACCCAAAAAGACTAAAATTACACCAAAACCAGACCAAAAACCCTCAGATACAACAAGGCCTTAAACTCCTCATCCCACCTAAACCCTAAACCCAAAAAGGCCCTCAACAACAAAAAAGACCAGCAGGCTGGTTCTACGACTTGGGCGATGCTCGGAGCAGGGTTTTTCCCGAGCGGTTTTCGAGCTTGGGGGGCCTTCCAGCGTTTTGGGGGGGAGCATTTTCTGGTGATCTCTTTGGGTAATGTCGGGCCTCAATATAGCTACTCATACCATGTTTTTTTTGTTTGGGGGGGGGGGNNGGGGGGGGGGGGGGGCTCCTTATTATGGTTATACTATAAAAGAGCCTAAGACCCTAGTCTAAATAATTTTTGAGGCCCCTGCATTAGTGTAAGATTGCAGTAAGGGTTTACGGGTTTACGCTTTGGTTTAGGCGGGAACCCCGCCCATGATAGTCAAAGCGCTGTTCACTGTTGAAGCGTACTTTGCACGAGAAAAAATTGACATGTTTGGATTTCTTTAAACGTCCCGATCCCTGACCCCCCAACCCCCCTCGTGCACTACCCCGAATTGGTTACAGCGAACCCCAGAAAGTTGGAACATGGGTTTAGGATGATTAGTGCTAGGAGTTAGGATCCCTCACACTTTCCCTTAAGAGGATAACGAAGTTCCAACTTTCGGGCCTCTACTTCAAGTTTAAATCTTGGCATTACCGGGATCCCACAAATATCGAATTTGTTTAGACTGTTTACACCCGTCAAAATATGTTTCATTTTCCCCAAATCAAGCAATCATGCAATCAGCCGTCGAAGTATTTTATTATCAATCTGCTTGTCTTATTCGTAACATCGCTGTCATCTGCCTATCATCTGTTCATATGTCTTGCTATCTGTTTACAATCTTCCCATGGTAGTTTGATTTTCTTTTTCTTGTGGACATGTTCAGCAGTTGCTCTGGCTACCCGTTCCTCACCAATAGACTGAGTGTTCTCATCACCAGATTAGGAAATTAGGATTACGTGGGTTGCTATTTGCTTCGATTACATCGCCAAGGATCTCAACCAGTCAAACCCTTTCGTTCGTTCCGAGCTCCTCAAGTGGGGGAAGTGCCATGGCTGCATGTTCTGATGACCGGTTTACTACCCTCAACCCGACACCCATCGGTCAACGTGACCAACATCGGCTACGACACTGGTCACGACATGCCAAGGAGGACAGTCCTGCTCTGGGGGTGGGTGTTTGACAGGCGGTTGCAGTCAAGACTTGTGCCATGTGTTAGTGATAGTGTGCCAGATATCCAGACATGGTAACAGTGGAGATGCCGCGGCCGCAGCCGTTCGGGACTCAAAAGAGGGTTTTCATCTGAATCCAGCCAGCCCAGAATGCTCTCGAGCATTTATATCTCGGAGTATTCGCACAAATTCCCCATGATGGGTGGACCAGTACTCGAAGCCTGGTATGGGCTTTTCTCAGAGGACGGCACGCCGAAGACGGGACGATGCAAGAATGTGACCAACTTGGTTCTTGCATCATCTTCTGTGAAAATCAGCAATAAGAATATGGGCGGCGACCCAGCCCCATATGTGGAAAAAAGCCTTAAGCTCACATTCCGAGGGCATCTGGAGGTGAGCATTCCAGAATGGCACAGCTCCAAGATGAAGGGGGAGCTGGTGGAGGCGACATGGGGCAGCATGTCTCGTGGCATGAATGTCACGGATGTTCTCAAGAACAAAGACGAGGTCGTTGCAGAGAACGGTTTTCTAACATGCGACCCGGCAATTGGTACGTTGAAGACACTCTGCATTACGTATGGAAGGGATGATGAGCCTTCCGATTCCGAATGCAGCTACAGCAGCTTCGAGCTAGTGTGAGCGGCCCTTTTGCCGAATGAGACGATTTCTATGCCCGTAGCAAAAACACGCAACCGCTCTTTATGGGGCCATGGTGACTTACTTGCAGGGTACATGGTTCAGGTTTTGAGTGTTGGTTCCGGGTTTGCTGGTTCGTTCTAGTTTAGCTAGGAGAAACGGCCTCCTGAAGATTCTTGCTCTCATGATTCTGTCACAGAGAATCATTGCAATATGCGGCGTGGCGCAGTGCACAGAGCCCGCCCTTCGGTGTACAGAATGAGAGACCAGTCGGTACCCGACGGAAAAAGAGAAGGCAGTACAGTGCAGGTCGGAGTAATCAGTGAAGACACTATGCAAGTGATGCTGTGACAGAATACTACTTGCCGTAAAGCCACAGTGCGCGCAGCTTTACTTCCGCCTGACGGAAGGCAGAGGGATGATTAGATGGCGTCGTAGCATAAACGCCCCAGGATACAACAGTAACTCGGGGTTCGGGGCTTCACTGATGCTTCCCAACCCTAAACCCTACGCCCTTCAAGCTACCCTGCAACTGCTGCCGGTCGCCACACCCCAGAAAGGCGAAGTGGCAGGGTCTTGTCGGCCTCGGGACGGGTTTAGGCTTTTTGGTTACGGCTTTATTTAATAGGGCTTTCTAGGAATATAAGGTTTAGTTTTGATTTGATAGCGTGTCCATGTGGACCATAGATGGCTATCGTACTAGTGGTCCCTCTGAGAACACCCAGCGTGCAGCAAAACAGCCTGATGGTAGGGTTTTGGGAGTATCGTCGTTGCTTACAGCTGGGAAGGCCGTCGCCACAAGTTCGTACACCAGCACGGTCTTCGTTCTGAAACTTCTGTCGTGGTAGAAGCGAAACCTTGAAGCATGTAATTTATGGGCCTCAATAATTACCTATATTATTTTGGGGTCCTTATTGTAATTATTATTTATAAAGGACCCCCAAACCCTATTCTAATTATTAAGGCCCCTGTAGCAGTTTCGTAGTACTTGATTTTCGCGCGGAAACCAAGCGGCAGGAAAGGGATCAACAGCTCGCCCCAACCCCAGGTACATGAAGAACAAGTACCACATCGATGCTTGAATGCCACCATTCGGATGTTGTTCAGGGTTTCGGTTTTGGTGCTATTTGTGTACCCGATTCTACAACTACGAGGGGCTGCATATTCAGAAGAAGATTTACTAGTCGCAGACTTTTGGAGCAGTCCGGGCTGCGGATTGCACTTTTTGTCTTCGGCGGCGTCAGGCGACTGCCTATATCGTCTTTCAGGAATGTAAGCCCTGAACCTTGAACGAGTTGTTCATTGATGGGATCTTTGCAGTCTTGCCTCATGACATCATTCTGGGCGTGCTTACCGGGTACTGGCGTTTTGGGGTTTGGGTTTGAGTGTTTTGTTGGAAGTGTCATGTTCAATTGTCAACTGTTACGATCCCAGGTAGGGCTTCCGGAGTTTTAAGTTTTGGTTTCGAGGTGTGCTACCATCTGGCAATTGTGGTTGGGTTTGTTAGGCTCTGTTGAACGATCCATGTTTATAACCCAGGGTTCGTGCAGTCAATGTCAAAAGAAACACCATACAGACCTCCTAGAACCCTAGTAGCTTTAAGAAGTACTAGCAATGTTAGGAGTGAAATGTTTCAACACGCTATAGCGATGTGGATAGCAATAAGGACACCTATCGTCATGATGATGACAACAACAATAGTACTGACTTAGCACGCCGAGCAACATGCATCTGATTCAAGGATGGTTTTCGACTGGACACGGCGCCTTATGTGCCAAAGGACTTTCTCAGCGAGTTCCTGGATCCGCAAAATACGTGTTCAATTACCGGGTCTCTTCTAGTGTCCTTCTGGAAAGAGTTGTTTACTACATACTCTTCGGAGCTTTCAAAGAGAAACACAAGTTGTGAGGAACAGAATGGAGCTTATTAGTGACATTCGTCCGTAGACTAAGAGTAGGGTGTCATTATGCTCCCGGGTTCTAGAGTTTACATATTCGTAGACGGGCCTGTAAAATGGGTAGTACATGGTAGCAGTTTTACATTTTTTTCCAGCAGAGTCCTAGCAAAAAAGAAAGGAGGGGGTCAAGGGTTTTGGCTTCAGGGCCAATTTATGATGTCTGAGGAAGACTTAGGCGTATTATCTGTATGCGGCGTGGTTCTGTTCTGTGCGATGTGTCTTTCCACGTTGGATTGTTGCAGGTTAGCTGTTTGCCCAGAAATGCTACAACACGCAACACCAAACCGTAAATCCTAAACCCTATACCCTAAACCCTAAACCCTATAAGCCATCAAGGCTGAACCTAAAAGCCCCTAAGCTCGGCCTCATCGAAACCGATGGCTCAACTGGGAGAGGTTTGTCCCATCGCTAGAAGATTATAAAACTGAAGCCTCTGCCGGTTGAGCTTTAAGGCCTGTAACCTAAAACCCAGCAAAAAGACCCCACGCCCCCCCAAACCCTAAACCCCTAAACCCCTAAACCCTAAACCCTAAACCCCTAAGCCATAAACCCTCCACGTCCCTGTTCGGGAGAGTGGGGGGCCTGGGTCTGGTTTTGCATTTGCAACTTGGGTGCCGTTGATGCTCGTTAGGTTGATTTGGTCCGGGTTGCAGTGCTACAAGGTTACTGTAGGGGCCTAAGTAGTTTCCTATATTATTGTGGGGGTTCCTTATGATAATTACAGTATAATGGGCCCCACAAACCCTATTCTAATTATTAAGGCCCCTACATTACATTCCTCCAGATACAGTTCCACTTGTACGAGATACTCAGTGCTGCAGGTCCCCCAACCCCCGACGCTCTACCTCGACTTTACCTCGGCTACAGCCGGGTTCAACAATTGACGGTTTGGGCACTGTATAACTCTCTAGAATAGCCAATGACCGCGAATGGCTTCCTACTGAAACCCTAAACCCCAAACCCCTAGTGATATTGGAGTTGATCAGGGGCCTGAAGACAGTGGCAATGGCAACTCGACTCATAGGTAATATAGGGGCCTAAATAGTTACCAATACTATTATGAGGGTTGCTTATTATAGCCATAGTAGAAAATACCCACCAACCCTATTCTAGTTATTAAGGCCCCTAGGGGTTCAGGGGTTTAGGGTTTCGGGTTTAGGGGTTCAGGGTTTTAGGGTTTCGGGTTTAGGGTTTAGGGGTTCAGGGTTTTAGGGTTTAGGGTTTAGGGGTTCAGGGGTTTAGGTTGTATATAGGGGGATGCACGCGACGTGTAAGTCCGAAGACCTTACATTACATACGGCCTGAAGGCCCGAAACCCGCTGTTGCTATCACCCGATGCTACGAAACTGACAACCTCCACAGAGCCAACGGCCACGCGCCAGGTTCCAGGAAGCCGTGGGCATCCCGATACTTGGGGAGGCAGATATAGTATAGGGGGCTTAATAATTACCTGTGCTGTTTTGGGGGCTCCTTATTTTAATTATAGTATATTGGGCCCCAATTCTAATTATTAAGGCCCCTATATTAGGTTCTTCGAGCTAAGTCGAGGGGTGCTTATGAGTGCTCCCTAAGGTTCCCTACTGCCCTCCCCCCTTTAGAGCCCCGCGAAACCCTGAACCCTAAACCCCTAAACCCCTAAACCCCTAACCCTTAAACCCCTAACCCCCTAAACCCCAAACCCCCTAAACTCCTAAACCCCTAACGCCCTAAACCCCAAACCCCCTAAACCCCCTAAACCCCTAAACCCTAAACAACAAACCCCTAACTCCCTAAACCCTAAAACCCTAATACCCTAAACCCCTCCTTAAGGATCCTATCAGGAGGGGCTGAGAGGCTTAGCGGCTTTGGGGTTTCGGAGCCGGGGTTCGAACGTCTCGGCCTCAGGGTCGGAATGATTTGGGGGTATAGGGTTTAGGGGTTTAGGGGTTTAGGGGTTTAGGGGTTTAGGGGTTTGGGGTTTAGAGGTTTGGGGTTGGGGGTTTAGGGTT